GGCTCAGTACACCAAGCAAAAAAATGGGATGAATATGCTAAGCCTTACACGCTGTGCGTGATTGAGTACCATGTTCAGCATAATATTTTACACGGTTCAGTCTTTAAACATTCCAGCAAATAAATCAAAACGCGTCTCCAACACATTTCTTTTCATTGTTGAACATAATTGTGGAATATTTTTGAAAAAAGGATGGCGATTCGTAGATATAATTACAATAGGTATGACTTGTTAGCATTCGTTAATGTATTTCCACGCACCTAAACGCAAATGTTCTTCACGAGCTTTAAAAACTGTTTCGGGAAAATTAACACGCCTTTATTCAACGTTTTAGATTTTAAAATGAAAATTTAGATCATTTAAAAATTCTCCCATTGATTTATTCTTTTTACTCGAATCGATTCACGAATAACTGCATTGCATCAGAACTTGTCTCAGGATTTGAGTGTTTATATATTCTTTTCTTTCAAAACTGATCTGGGGAGAATGAGCATGTTTTCAATGGTTGTTTTAAAATCTTAAAATGGAAATAGAATGGATAATCTTAATTATAAATTTAACCCAACTCGATTTATAAATGTATTGCATTAAATTAACATTTTTTTCATGATAAGGGTTTTTCGATTCATTCTTGTGCATCACGAACTGTACACATTGTAAATTATTTTATTTTCCTTCACCGTTTACATAAAGATTTCATCCTTTTAGTCCCTCCAGAGATTTTTCCTACGAAGTGGGTAGAGGAGCTAACAGCTCATGGGGAAGCATGCAAAACACGACTCTTTTTTTTTTTGCGGATCATTTTTCAAAACTCGCTTTTGTTTCATCCGCTTTCGCACCGTTAAACCAGCTTTTGTTCAAAGTGGAAAAACGGGAAGGAGAAAAAGCGTCATATACTTCGGAAAGAGAATCTCTCCTGCACCCGCACAAGTTAATTATTTTTATCTCAGCTATATGTTTGCAATGTCCACGTGGCCGATGAAATTAAAATTGAGGTTATAATCTACGTGATGCAGGAAAAACCGATCAATCAAAAAAAAGTTTGCTTCATCGAAAAAAAATTAATGGAGGGAGAGAAGTCAAACAAACGTTCAAGGATATACTACGTCGCTGTCGGAGTCAGTTCAGTGAAGCACACATCATTCCTGTCTGACACAGAAAAGCAAGGTTGCGAATGAAATTCAGGACGAAAGTTACAGCTCGGATTTCAGTTCTTCACAAACACTGGAACTTCTTTGTGAAAATGGTGGAGCGAATCTTGCGTTTTTTTTTCTAAAGCTCTTCTGGTAATTTTTTCACGTGGAAAAACGTCGCATAGAAGCTTTCATGTTGGAAATGTTTTCTTGCACAAATAATGGTCGAAAATGTCTCGAAAGCACGACAATGTTTTTCGCTGTTCGAGTTTTACGAACATGAAAGCAAATTATATTATTTGAGTTCGGTTTTTTTCTCATGACTTACATTTTTGAATCCACAATTATTAAAATTGAAATGTACTGTACAGTTTCTAACGAAGAAAATAGCATTTTTTGAAGACCTTTCCAGCAATTTTTTCAAGTGGAAAATTCGATTCCCGTGCAGAAGTTAGAACATTTTCTCTAAAAATTTAGCTTTCGGGAAGTACAACTGCTGTATATCACTGTCTGAAAATATGGAGCATTGCTTTTATAGAAGAGGAAAATCGAAAGCTTGATTTTATAATGGCATAGCCCAAGAATTTATTTTTTTAAACGATAACCAAGAGACACATATCTAACTTTTTCTTCTCAGAATCGTTGTGTTGAATCTTCTTCGAAAAGTCATGAATTTCAAACCCAGCGTTTGGTGCTTCATTTCTCTGCTGGTCATTTGTTTGCAAGTCCAAGGCAAGTAAAAACGTTTTTATTTAATTTTTCTCTTTCCAAATTGATTCAATTTGTTTATGTAATCGACAGGTTCTAAAATAAACCATCGTCAGCCAAGAGTCCGTGATGGAACAGACGTGACAGATAGGACACTCATGCCTTACATCGGAAGGATCACATCGTGTTTCAAACCCCTGGGAAGATTCACTTGTGTGTATTGTTCCGGGGTTTTGGTGGCATTACGCTGGTTCATGACAGCTGGACACTGTGTCAGGATCCCGAAATCAGACACGAAGAATCACGAAATAAAAACAATGACGATCACCCTGGGGGACTTGAAAAAAGACGACGTTTCTGAAGACGGGACCGAAATAATCGAAGGAGACGTGAACAGTGTTCAAGTCCCTGTGGGGTACAACAAAAAATATCGCAACAATGACCTAGCCTTGGTCAAGCTGACAAAAGATGCAACATTGAGTAATAAGATCAAAATCATGAACTTACCTACAACTGCAAGTGATACAAATCCTGCTGTTGGAGCAGCAGTCACTTACTACGGATGGGGATTCTATGACCCAGTCAACTGTAAGTACACAGTTACACACATTTCAGCTAGATTAATTTCAGTTTTTCCAGAAAAGAAAAAAATTGAAAACACTCAAATTTGTAAATAACTCGCAAGTACCAAGAGTTTTCTGAAGGTAAAGGCGGGTTTACAATTTTTTTTCTAACATCTAAGATGATTCTCCTGTTTGAAAAAGCTTCAAAAATTAGAAATATATTTAGAGAGAAAAACCTTTATACTACGATTGAATTGTACAAAGGAAGTCTTTAAAAAGGTGTCCGTAAAATCGGAGGATCACCAACAAAATATTTGGTAGTGCGAATAATATTGAATTTAGAGATCTTCCTTATTATCTAAAAAAAAATAGCATTAGAGGTACATCAAACCATTCATAATTGCATATCATTTCAATACATTTTTAATGGGACGACATTTTTTCAAAATTGACTAAAGTTTGATGATCATCAGCTCCTGGCATGGAAATTAATTGGTGATTTGCAAGACTTGCGAAAACCCGTTTGAACCATGCAGCAGCTGCAATACCTAGATGTACGACTGATGGCTGACGTTATAATGTTTCTACAAACGGAGATAGGTGTCACTTGACTCGCTTTTTCCTCAGATCTCCTATCCAACAACTTGAAGAAAGGGACAGCTCTCGTCGTTGATAGTGCACGCTGCAACGTTTACGATACCAAAACGCAATTCTGCACAAATTCTGATGAAGGACAACAAAACTGCTATGTGAGTGAGCGATTGAAATTTTTTCCTTACATATTTTGAAAATTTTGTATCCAGGGTGATGCCGGTGGTCCAATTGTTCTGACGTCTGATTTAACAACTGTCGTTGGAATAATAAGCTACAATACTCCTAATTGTCCGAAAGCATCAGTAAATGGACAATACCGACATACTCGTGTCAGTGGCAATCTGGATTGGATTAAGAATATCATCGCGAATTGATTGTAAACGAATTATTTGAAAGCCAAATACAGAGATGGAAATGTTGGTTTTCTTATATTGACGGATTACCCTTGGATGCGTCTTATTTTTTTGAAAATCCACGGTTCAAGCAATAGTCAAAAATTCAAAAGCAAATGCATTTTTGTGACTAACGCGTTTGTATCTTAGCAAGACTACATTAAAAAAATTAATCTTTTTTCTGGCGAAATAAAAGGACTAAGTGAATGATTCGTCCTCCAGAATGCACGGTTTATATACGCAGTGTCATATATAGTGAATTTCGAATTTATTACGAATTTAAGAGTATTGACAGAGGAAAAATAAATTTGAATTGCTTCCGCATTCAACAAAAAAGTGGAAAAATTCTGAAAATAAACATCGTCCTGATAACAGAAAACAGGTAACTCATTCGATCGAACGGCTCTTAATTTTTTTTTCCTTTTTTTTTAAAGTAGGGAATTTCAATTTTTCTGCGCTTTATGCGAAATCGAACCCAATGAATTTGGGTATAAAACCAAATAAATTTTCCCATTGAAGGTCCAATATTTGTTTTTTGACATCTCTTGTCCTTAATACCGCTGTGAGATCCCCAAAGAATAAATGCAAGCGCTTGGAAAAAATATTTTTAATATCCGGCATCGATGGGAACCCACCGAAATATTTCTTCATTAATCACTTCCAAAATTGACGATATAAAGAATTTCAAAAGGAACCTTCGTCAGGCTCCACGATCGAGATTGCCCGTTTATTTCAAGTTGATGCCATTGTGTTATGAAGCCCGTGAAGGCCACAAAAAGCTTCCATGAGATCTTCGATGACGCCTGTGTGAATTCCGGATCTGAGAAGGTTTGATATTCAAGGGCTATCATCATTTTTCTTGCTCTTGACAAGTTTTTAATTTTTCCCTTCTTGAAGAATATTGTACACTTGATGATTCATGTTTTGCGAACGATTTTCTGCGACATGGAACACGCCCTTTTCGATGTCAGATACCCGAGAAAGACTAACATGTTCTACACTGACATGGAATTCGATGGATCTGGTGCCGGGAAACATGTACACAAGATCATGGGGGATGCCAGGTCACGTTTCAGTGAAATCGTCATGTCCCAGGTCAATTTATTTTCCCCACAGGGAGGAGACATTTTTGTGGTCAGCGTTAGTTTGAGCGACCTCTAGGTGATATTAATGTGAACGGAACTTTCGAGAATCAAACAGCCGCACTGGTTAGAGCTACTGAATGTTTTTTTTCCTTCTGCATCCGAGGTGCAAATTAATTTTTGCAAACAACTTGGAGAAATTTCATAAGACTTCTAATATACAATTCCGCTACCATATTGCTCAACTTAACTTCGCCTTGACCTAATTATCTGATTAGGTCAAAACAGAAAACACCATGGATGTACGAAATTGCGGCTAAGAACTGTACATCGTTTGAAATTGATGGTGCGGAATTTCATGCGGTTTACAGTATTGACGTTATTAACATGGCAGTAATACAGAATTTTTAATGCTGTTTGACAAAAAAAAACCTCGGAAAATCCGGTTCGTCACTTGAAATGGAATTATGTTTTTGCATTATAAATCAGAGCCGCGAATTCCGAAAAATCTTGGAGAAGAATTTCCTGACGCTGATGGACTTTAAAATATCCACTTCAACTTTGCGCCGGGTTTTGGACAAACGAGCAGAAGTCGTGGGAATGATGGTTCAAACTGGCGACTCACCGAACCCCCCGACAGCCGAAGACCAATTTTTGCACAACTTGCTGCTTTTTATGCAAAGATATCGCGAATGGCTCGCCGCTTGCACTGTAGATTACACTTCCTATCAAAAGTATGTCTATCGGAGAATCCTGGCAGATGTTGAGGCGTATCCGGAAGTCATGGCTCCTGCTGTCGTTTTCATGACACGGGAAAAATCCGTTCTGGAAGAAATCTTTGAGGAGGTTATCGAGGTAACATAAATTTTATCCCGGCCTTATAATTTGTATCAAAGAAAAAATATCAGGCATCACATTTAATTTAACGTTCGGAATTCATTTTGATATACGCGAAACTGTAGGAAAATTATTTTGGCCTGAAGCAAATCTTCGTTTATTTCGCAAGGAATTCAAAACATGTATTTAAATATGCCGATGTAAATTTTGCCCTTATATGAGTTCTGGCCATTTCAGCATTCAGCATTACGGACTGAAAAAGTTGGTAGGATCATATTTTTACTTTTTCCATTTTTTAAATGTGTCTGGAAAATTATTAAGCATGGAAAATGAATGGTTAAACGCCTGTTCTCAGAATGATTAGGATCAATTTTAACTTGTACTTATTCATTTTTAACCCAGCTGAAAAAAATTGAGCAAAAATCTTGAAGTTCATAGTTATTCGTAAATTTATGCATTACCTTCGTCCTTCACCTTCAGTTCATTTTTAATAATGGAAATAGATGATGTCTCTGCTGGGATTATATTTCAAGACTGCAATAACCTGATAGCTCTCGCATGCAATGTAAGTACCTGGATTAGCCAGATGATCCGACATTTCCTAAACCATAATCCAAGGACGCAATTAATGTCTTCAGGAAGCACAGAAGCTAATTATATATTCTAAAACTTTCCATTTTGTTTTGCGAAGGATAGGCTTGCAAGCAACGCCGCCCAGTTGACCTAGTTTCAGCAGGTATTTTAACCGAAGAAGAGGCCGATGCCCCGAGGTCATCCAGTGGAAAACTTCCAACAACAGCAGACATTGCCTTCACTGCTTATTCTTTGACCCATTGGCTTGTCAAGTACCTCGTCATCGTGCGACAACTCCAAGTAAATCTACTTGAGCTTTTTTTCGAAAATGATTATAAAAATCTGGAAAAAAAATATTTTGTGACAGGAAGGGATGATGGTGTACGTAATCAAGCACATTTTGGCAGACACAAGTGTGACGATCCCACGTCACAAGTGTGAATCACATTTGAGTTTGAAGATGTTGCTGCTCACTGGAATCACTGTCAATGTCGATGTCACGTCGATCCTTCGATCCTGTCGAGAGGATTTTGCAGATTTAAGCTACAGGGCCTTGTTTGTGCTGCTTTACAAAGTAACTCCGGATATCACTTTGTCAAATGCTTTGGAAGAGTCGCAAAACATCGTGGAAGACGGATTGGCCTATTTAAACAGGTGTCTTAATTTCGCGAAAAAATCATGGTATGAAATATTAAAACTGTACATGTTGCCCAGCAAAAAGTTACTCTGCGTAAAAAAATAATAAATTACAGGACGACATTTGGAATCAAAAAAAAAATTAGTAGATTAAAAAATTAATCTAAAAAACCACGATTTCAAAAAGCAAAAAATAACCTTAAACGTGGTGCGCAAGGACAAGATTGTTGGGAAGAAGTGAAATAAAAATGAAATAGATGCACACCACGCTTAAGGTTATTTTTTGCTTTTTGAAAATGTGGTTTTTTAGATTAATTTTTTAATCTACTATAATTATTTTATTCTTTTAAAAAAATATTCTTATAATTATTCTTTTTGCAAAAGATTGCATTGCCATCAGTTTCTAAGCTATCCTGAGAGTTTCAGCTTGCTAGCTAGTCGGGAAGTGAGCAAAATTGGAGTTGCAAAATTTGATCCGGACAAACAAACAGACAAGAAAGCAAGTTAATAAAAATGTGTTAAAATAGTTCGAAGTGAATAATTCTGTACAACGATGATGACTGGAAAAAAATTTATTGAAGCAGGAAAAATTTTCTGAAAATTTCCATCATGTATGGGGTTCTGAAATTTATTAATTGTTCATCAAAATTTTCTCCGCTCTCAACTTCCATCACGATAAACTGACAAATGTGTAAAGCCAGTGAAAAAAGTTTTGAATTATTTTGCGTAAATTGTAATTGCTGAAGATCTTTCTAAATATTGCTTCGCTTTCGTTAAAAATGCATTTTCACATTCATGATTTTAATTAAGTTTTTGTCCCTCTAGAATTCAGTGAACATAGATAATTTAAAAAAACAGAATATTCTTTTTGGCGCAAGTTTATAATAATGAAAGTTGGAATAGTAAAATACATAATTTGTGTGCCATTTTTTTGTGAAGATTCTCTGAATTGGGACCAATGCTAATGGAGGAGCCGACTCCGGGAAAATCTTGGATTCGGTGTTGCTGCAAGCGACAGAAAACGGACTTGGGTCGTCACGAGTTCAGGTCGCCGATCGACAGGAAAAGTAGAGGCTTTTATTCGGTGTCGAGGTACTCCATTGAAACCCTGTCGACACCGTTGCCGACGAACCGAGAAGTTCTGTCTGTGGCAGAAACGCGACCAGCTAGCAGACGGGACAGCGACGACGACGCGTTGTCAAACATCGGAGACGGCATGGTAACAAACTCAAAGTTGAAAAACAAGACGACTGGTGGCGGAAAGAATATAAATTGTAATTGCTGAAGATCTTTCTAAATATTGCTTCGCTTTCGTTAAAAATGCATTTTCACATTCATGATTTTAATTAAGTTTTTGTCCCTCTAGAATTCAGTGAACATAGATAATTTAAAAAAAACAGAATATTCTTTTTGGCGCAAGTTTACAATAATGAAAGTTGGAATAGTAAAATTCATAATTTGTGTGCCATTTTTTGTGAAGATTCTCTGAATTGGGACCAATGCTCATGGAGGAGCCGACGCCGGGAAAATCTTGGATTCGGTGTTGCTGCAAGCGACAGAAAACGGACTTGGGTCGTCACGAGTTCCGGTCGCCGATCGACAGGAAAAGTAGAGGCTTTTATTCGGTGTCGAGGTACTCCATTGAAACCCTGTCGACACCATTGCCGACGAACCGAGAAGTACTGTCTGTGGCAGAAACGCGACCAGCTAGCAGACGGGACAGCGACGACGACGCGTTGTCAAACATCGGAGACGGCATGGTAACAAACTCAAAGTTGAAAAACAAGACGACTGGTGGCGGAAAGAATAAAAAATGCATCATTTCTTGAACTATATATTCCGTATTCTATTTTTGCGAAAAAATAGCGGAAATATTTTTTTTTCCAATATATACAGGACTTTTTTCAAAGCTGCTGCAATACATTTGCAGTTTCACTCACCCTTGAGATCCTTTTTCGCGTATCTAATGTGCATGAAATGAAAAGGAAGTATTTTCAACTCAATCACGGAAGCTTCGTAATTTTATCTCGTTTGTGATCTGAAATTTTATTCTGCTTTCATCGAATAACGAATATTAGGATTTCTGGATCGAAAGTGTACCATTGATAGCAGGAACATTCTTTTCTCACGCAGAAAGAGATTTGAAAGAGAATTTCGGGACGTTAAGTGTCACAAACTTCAATACAAATAAGTTCGGTTTATGTTGTCTGTTAAACTGGTTGGTCTCCTGACACTGGTTATATTTGGTGTTTTATAGAAGTTGACACTCTCTACAAGGATATTCTCTGCATAACGGTCATCTTCGCATGTTATCATAGGGGTTCTCTGCAAAGAAATTCTCCCCATCATAGTGAATTTTTTCGGATACCTTGAGTTACAGTTCAGAGAGGCCATTTGAATTTCGTTTTATTGCCAGCGACATCTGTCCACGCTGAAATAATTTTACGGTATTTTCTTGACGCTCTTAAAAGTCATGATAGATAACGGACAAATTATGATTTGCAAATGATCTTGATATATTCACTTGCTTTCTGGAAGAAAACGCTGCTAGGCTGTTTTCTCGAAAATTATTTTTCCAAAACAAGGACGAAAATAGCAGGAAAAATTAGAAACTCATTAGAAAGCATTCATCGGAAATGTGTCTCCGTGGACTATTCAAATCAAATTCAATTGATATCCAGAACAATCTAGCTAGAAAAAAAAAGTTTAGGTCATCGAAAATAAAAATTAAAATTCCAATCCCATGATTTAATTTTTACCAATTTTTTAAAAATTGTCAAGTATATACTGCATATATTTATCCACGATTTAATAAATAAATATTTATCTATTTATTTATGAATGTATCTAATTTTTTGGGATGACCAGATTGTAAGAAAGTGATCAGTTCCTGAAAAAAGGTGAATTGACATGATGAGAGTAGTACAGCATTCAAGGCAAGGGCCCGAAGCAAGATAAAATTATACAATATCTCAAGATAACCGTAGAAAATTTCTGCTACGAAGAATTTTTTGTGAATGAATTTCTTTTATGGAGAAATTACACTTGTGAAGTACTGTACTAAGGAAATCCCAGAATTATATGGCTCGGGAAAAAAAGTTATTACTCTATTTTGAGTAATAAGCACGTGACCAGCAGAAGTTCCTCTTTACACAAATGATCAGAAATATCCCAAGACCAGACGAAAGTCCTTCGCATGCGAAGAAAAATCCTTCTCAAAACCTAGAAAAATGCCTCGTTCATTTCCAAAATATTTCAGGACCAATAGCCCGAAAACACAGAGCGCGGTTCTTGTTGCAAAAGGAGTTTGAGAACGGCGACCAGCAGCCAGTTGGATTCCAAAATGAATAACCGGGCTTACGATATTTACATCAAGTTTTCGACAGACGGTTTAAAATGCATCGTCGGTGCAAATCGTAAGCATGGTGAGGCATGTTTAAAAGAACGTCAGCGAGGCGGCGTTTCATTTGCCAGTCACGGATCCGGTGACGCTGAACGTGGATCGTCCGCGTTGCTTCTTTCCGCTATACTCGCTTTGTTCCTTGCAAACTCTGCTCTCAGTAATAATGTATATTTAAACGAGAGAAAAAAAAATTGGCAAGACTTCTTTTAAACAGGGTTCTTTGCTGCGTTCTGGAATAAACGAGTGAAGCTTGCGGGAGGAAGTGCGAAATTCCGGAAACGTAGCTTTTTCTTTCCAGAGCTGTCTGACCCGGAAAACCCCGCGCGAATACCAGGATTTTTTTTCTTTTCGAAGTGCTGTACTTCTCCAGGACTTTTCTTAATTGCTATTGATTCATGTAATCTACTTTTAGCTAACCCGAAATATTGATTACATATTTTGATGGATATCTAAACTCTCTCGAAAAACTGAAGAAAATTCCAGTGGCTTTCATTCATAATTTCCGAATATTCCTCGTCAGAGCTTCTTTTGCTGGGAGTGAAATTCGGCAAAATTTTGAACTGCTTCCCAGGTCATCGAAAAAGTTTTTCAGGCCTTCGGTGAATATAATTCTTGGCAGTTCAGACTGTTATACTGTGCTTCTGTCCTTTTGGAGTGACATTTATATTTCGGGAATCAGTGTTGATGATTTGTGAAAATGGCTGGTGTTCTCACGACCTCGATGCGTAATTCGATAAATTGATAAGGGGTGTGTCCGGAATCCAGTTCAGGAAAAAATGAAAGATTTTAATCAGTGACTGCGTGCTGAGTTCGAAACATCCCGACACGTTACTTAACACTTTTAAAGCAATACAGAGGACAGAAAAAGCGATCCGTGTCGCTTTCCGGGATGTCAATCAACGCCCGCATTATAGCTGCGGTTATCCTGTGCAGTGAATATTATTTATAAAAGGCTTGAAAAGCCCCTAATTACGTAATTTAAAAAAATAAATAAAAAGTTTCGAGATGAGTGAAAGATCTTGTTCAGCGCACGGCAGCTCCAAAGGCATCACATTCGAACTTGACGAATATGACTCTTCCAAGGATGTGCTTTACTCACGCATTGGGGAATATGGAAAGTAAGAAGTTTTCAAAGAGAATTGATGAATGATTTCAACTATTAAATGAATTTTGGAAGGAAAACACGTTAAATTCACTTCATTATCCCGTGCGAATCCATAGTTTTTAACATCTTGACGTGTATGAATCCTCAAACTCGTGTATTTCCCTGAACTTACGATATTTTCATTTAAAAACTGTTATTCTTTCCGCTTGGTATTCAATAATAAATTTATACTCTATTGCAATTCGAAATATATAAATTTAGATTTATTCGGAGGTTGAACGCTTATTTACTTGAGCGGAAAACGAAAAATTTTGAGACGTTTCCGAATGAAAATAAAAATGTATGATTTTATACAAATTCCAGATGGCAGAGGACAGTTTTTCTTTGGTCGTGCCTTGTTGGGATCCCAGCTGCTTGGCACATGTTGGCAATCACATTTTTTGCACCGCCAATCGACCACTGGTGTGCGAAACCCAGCGAAATGCCTTACGGAAATTGGTCTGACGACTTGTGGAAATTTTATGCCATCCCGATCGACGAAGACGTAGGAAAGCGACACATAAAAAAGAATCAAAATCAACAGTCTTTGTGAAACGTAAAACTTTTTCACAGGGAAATTTTGACAAATGCAACATGTACCATCTGGAGCATCTCCCGGACCCCGTTTTGCATAATAAGACCGAAATCAACAGAGAATTCACTGCGAGGCTGATTTATCAAGGACGGGATATGCAGATTGTACCGTGCGAAAATTGGGATTTTGATCATTCTCAATTTTCCTACACCATCACTGAACAGGTTTTGCATAATATGTCGCATACTTTCGTACTCCCTCGACGATAGGATATGTCTTGCAAATTTTACCTATTTTGTTACTCTTTCACAAAAATACTTCTGAAGACAAGGCTTTACTGTTTAATTAAAACCCGAACTTGAACCTTTTTCAAGTTTGAAAGTTGATCCTAATCTGATTTGAATATTTAATTTTGAAAAATCCATGAAACAACTTGGGATCATTCGAAAAAGGGATTTAAATCAATTTGAATCTTGGAAGCATCGCATGTGTGAATGTTTGGGCGATTTTGCGAAATTACTTTTAAAAGTAAGATGTTTAAAAAAGCTAGGATTTTGAATAAGCAATTATTTTTGCTCATCGTGAATGATAGACGGATTTTCTGAGAATTATATATTTCAAAATTGTATCGGAGCTCGTTTTTACTATATAACTCGAAACATTAATTAGTTGATTTCTTGAAAATATTTCAATGATTAGGTCTTAGCCGGAGAGATTTTTTTAAATATCTACTGCTATTCCCAAAAGTCGCAAAAATAATTGATTTTTCCATCATCAGTGGGACTTGGTATGTGACAGAGCTTGGCTATGTCAAGTTATTCAATCGACTTACATGGCTGGAGTTTTGGCAGGTTGCGTCGTTTACGGACACCTTTCGGACAGGTAATCACAATCCAAATTTTAGATAACAGAAGAATTTAAATTTATTCAATATCAACAGAATCGGGAGAAGAGCAGTGATTCTTCTCGGAACTGTGCAACTGATATCAAGTTCTCTCTTGACGACATTCACAGAGAGCATGACGTTGTTCATCTTGTTGCGATTTTTGGTCGCAATGGGAACCAATGCGCAATTCACTGTTGCCTTCGTGCTCGGTAAAACTGAAAATTTTAGTCAGTACGGATGTGATTATACCTCATTTAAATTATGTTTTTTAGTGATGGAAATAATTGGCGGGCGGAAGAGGACCGTGATGGGAATTGCATACGAGTATCCGTTTTCTCTGGGCTTCATGACCCTGCCAGGAATCGCGTATTTGATTTCGGATTGGCGTTATTTGCAACTAGCGATTTCTTTGCCAATAGTTTTTCTCCTTGTTTATTACTGGTAAGTGTGTTGTTCTTAGGAATTGCTTCTAAATAACTTCAGAGATGACCATTAAAGATTAATGTAATTTAAAATTTATTGGTTGCTCAAACGTCATGCTGATCACCAACTCGTCATGAAAATAATCCGCGCTTTCAAGAAATTATGATTGATTTCGTATACAAGGTCACAGTTTTCCACGCGAAAGAACACGGGATATTTAATTTCATTTTCCCCGTGCATACAGAGAAGTTTTATTGCTTAAAACGATTTGTGTACTATTTTTCCCATGAACTTACAAGAAAACTTTGTGAAGTAAAAAAAAGCTGCTTCTTTTTGGCTTTAAAATGCTTGGGAGGAAATTTTCGTTTTAATTACGATTAGGGGTCCATAAATTTAAACTTTACTATTTTTCCCATGAACTTACAAGAAAACTTTGTGAAGTAAAAAAAAGCTGCTTCTTTTTGGCTTTAAAATGCTTGGGAGGAAATTTTCGTTTTAATTACGATTAGGGGTCCATAAATTTAAACTTCGTTGAGTTGTGGTGCTTATGAATGCAGTTGTTAATTAATCTAGCGGTGAACTGCGTCTTAGATAATTCATTTCACTTGGAGAATACTCAAAAAAACGGAAGCATGAATATGTAATCTTCACTTCTTATATAATAATTCTGCGTGGCTTAACATTATGCGTCTCCCGAATCTTTTCGAAGTACTGAATATCTCGAGTTAATCTGGGATGCATAAAATAACCAAAGCATCAGTGAATGTTAGTTTTCTGGCTTCATCCAATAATATATGGCAGTGAAAAATTGTAGGCGATTCGAAGGATTTCTAAAAAAAAGTCTAAATTTGCAGGGTTCTGCCAGAATCTCCACGTTGGTTGATAGCGCAAAATCGGCTATCGGAAGCGCAAGAAATAATTGACGAGATTGCAAGAACAAATCAGCGCTCGTTTCCTGATAATCTTCGCCCGAATTCGCCGGAAAATGTACCAGTTTGTGTTTGCGGTTTGAATGCCATCCATGAATCCGGAGAAACTAAAGAAAAGAAACAAGCCGAAATTAAGTACTCCTTGGTGGACTTGTTCCGTACCCCGAACGTCAGAATGAAGACCCTCAACATATTTTTCAACTGGTTTGTAAACTCTTTTGTTTACTACGGACTGTCTTTGAATGCTGGAAACATCGGAGGGAATGTTTTCTTGAACATCATGTTCGGCGGTGAGTGCAATTTTTCTGCACACAATATTTCTATTAGCTAGTGAAAATTAATTTGCAAGTGGAAAAAACATCTGTTGAATGTTGAAAATAGGGCCTAAAATACTTCAAGAAGTGCAAAAAAATTGGCGTTGAAAATGCTGAATTGCTTTGAAAGTTGACTAATTTAAAATTACTTTTTCATATCAATTGATGTTGAAATTTTCATCAAACGGGTTGCAAATGTCTCGTTAATCTTTGTATGATAAAAATTACAGTATTGTGTTCTAGGCTACTTTTCTACGGGATTTTCATTTAGATCTTCGCATTGTCAAGTTACAGTTATTTGGATGCTTTATTTTCAAATTACATCTATAGGTTTGGTAGAAATTCCTGCGTACGCCATCAGCATGCATGTCCTGGTGAAAACGGGCAGAAGATGGCCTCTGTGTTTGTCAATGGTGTTCGGAGGTGTCGCTTGCTGTCTGACTGCAGCCGTACCACGGGGTGAAATACGGCAGCTAACAATTCAAAAATTAAATTAAATGTTACGAATAACGTTTCGTCAACAGGGATTTATGGGTATGACTGGCCAATCGTCACATTGGCAATGATGGGCAAATTCGGCATTTCGGCATCTTTTGCAATTATTTACGTATACTCCGCCGAATTGTTCCCCACTGTTGCGCGGAATGTCGGTGTGAGTTCCTCATCCATGTGTGCCAGAATCGGAAGTGTCGTGGCCCCGTTCGTCAAGTTACTAGTGAGAGAAGAATTCTGCGAAAGGTCATATTAGCTCAGTATTTCGAGGTGTATTTTCCCCCTCTTTCCTTCGAATCGAATATCCAGGGCGATGAGACACATTTCGCAGTTCCTGTTTTCCTATTCGGATCTGCGTCGTTGCTCGCGGGGCTCCTGGCTCTCAAACTTCCGGAAACGAATAACCGGAAACTGCCGGAGACGCTCGAGGATGCCGAGCTTTTCGGGAAGTCTATTTCGCAGTGAGAGACCCTGAACTCCTACAGAATTTCTCAGAAGTCTTGCGAAATCTATGCCTGAATTTCACCTTAACGAAACGATAAAAAACTTTTTCGTGTGAAACAGTCTTGAAAACATTTTTTTTGCACATCGTTGAACCCATGAGAGAGTTTAAGAAGGAAGTAATTTATGCTTAAACTTTTTACGTGTGTTCACTAACCTAAAAAAAACCATTAAACTTTGAAAAAGACAGTTAAAAAAACTAGCCTCTTTCGAATTGAGCTGCCAAAATCGTTTTCTATTTTTAGGCTGTAATTTTTGCAATAGAGATTTCTCAGAGCAACGGCGCCCAGAAAAGGACATTGGTGCAAATCGTGAGCAAAATGCATCTGATATTAATGTTGGAGTGGAAATTGAGGAAGAAATTCGATCAAATTTAGAGAATTGAAAAGTAGAACCATGTTTATTATGATGTTGTTATAATTTTTAAGAGTTCGATCGACACGCATGAAATGAGAAAATGGAGTGAGCAGGATTCATAAAAAATTCTGAAGTAGATGAAAACGAATTAAAATCCGATTTGAACAGCTTTAAACGATATGTAGAAAAATGCATTTCTCTACAAATTTTCAAAAGTTTTTCGAAGCTTCTAAAATAAGAAACAATTTTAAAAATTTATGATTTTCCCTCATTTTCCGAGGAACTTTTGAACAGACTGCACAAAAATTCTGGAAAAAAAAATGTTTCAGTCAAAAAGTATCCACCCGTTTCTGTCTGGGTATGGAATGAGAATTTATTCGTGGTTCACAAAACTTTTGATGAACCCATCGTATTTCTTTTCCCCAGTATATCCAGATATCTGTCCATTCATTTTCCTCTTTCTAGGAA